TTCTTAATAAAAACTCTCAAAAGGCATCCTGCTTCTTAATAAGTCCAGTATTAAAGAATGATAACCTTAAAAATGCTGCTAAACTGCTGAGAATAATAGAAGTCACAGTGACAAACTGGTTAAGATTTAAAACGCACATAAACCATTATTATTGCTTTTAATTTTGAATGGGGGTGAATTGTCTGTAAGCAAAACATCTGTGAAATAGTGAAGTAACCAACTTGAAATAGCAAAAGAGAAAGTGAGCTCATTCTAGCTAAAGTCTAAAGAACTCTGTTTGAGGGGTGGAGGGCTGCCGTGGATTAAAAATCACTGTGCAATTACTTTATACAGGTGGTACCCGGAGAGACTGCACTGGCGTTTTATAAAGCAAAAAATCCTACTGACAAACCAATAGTTGGAATCTCTACCTACAATGTAATACCCTTTGAAGCAGGACAGTATTTCAATAAAATACAAGTAAGTGTGAACAAAGCAAAGATTACATTTTCCTTTACATGAATGAGAATTGGTATCCATAAATTAAGTATTTCTCAGTTTAATCCTGGATACCGTTCTTGGCATGCCAACATTTTGAGAAAATACCTTGATTTTTTTCAAATGACTGCATGAGTTCATTCTTAGCATTACTGTCTTCATAACAAGCTGCAGTACATGTCCAATTAGAGTGGCTTACAAATATTTGATACTTAGTACAACTGACATTGAGGGCAGGTGGTAACAATCTGAGCTAGCCACGCCCATTTCCATGTTTGTTCATTAAAAGCTATTTTTTTTCCCTTGTAACACAAGAGGAACAGAATTGCTGTCTTGTTGCTCATGGTTGATTCTTCCCAGGATTTTAGGGATGGGGGTACAGGGAATGAGAGTCGATTTTAAAAAATGAAGCTTTCTCTCATGGGCTGAGATAAACTTTACCGTAGCTGCTATTGTCTAATTGTTGCTTGTTTGGTTTTTTTCTCTCCCATGCAGTGTTTTTGTTTTGAAGAACAGTGGCTAAATCCTCAAGAGGAAGTTGACATGCCTGTCTTTTTCTACATTGATCCAGAATTTGTAGAGGACCCTAAAATGGCTAAAGTTGATTTGATCACCCTCTCTTACACTTTTTTTGAAGCAAAGGAAGGACAGAAGTTACCTCTTCCTGGATATCAGTAACGGACAATCTGTACACAGTTGGACTTCTGCTACCTGACTGCCAGTTTTGAAACCTTTTTCCATGGAAGGAAAAACTGCAGAAGTACTGTGTATTTCTATTTAAAAAAAACAAAACAAAAAACTTAATGTAGTTGGAATATTATTTCTTAGGAATAGTATTTCTTCATCAGACAGTAGAAGGGAACATGCTGTTCCAGGAAGACAGAGGGTTTTCTCAAAGTATCTTTTTATAAGATGATACATGTTATTGGAGTACTGTGAGGCAAAGTTTTGAACCCAAGTATAAATTGAAATCTTAATTTAAATACAGAGGAACACATCAGTTTAAGCATCTAAAATTGCATTGCTGGCTCTGAAGAATATCTTCCATGTAAGTTACTTTATAGACAGGTAGACCCAGGTAATCGGTTCATGAAATCTCAAAACTAAACAAAGTTAGACTATTGCTATGTAACCCTCCCGTGGCACAGGAGGGTATGGTGATTCAGAAGATTATGCACCCTCCGAATTATTACTGAATCAGTAGTTTATTTGGTAAGAGCAGACTGCTCTCACACTGTTATAATTTGAATGAGGAACAGGAATTTAAATGTAAGCACATCAAATCTGTGGTCTGGTTTCCATTTAGAAATACCATCTTCAAACTTCGACGTCACGTTCAACTCATTTAAAATACCTGCACTGCTGATGACTGCTCTTTAACTCCACAGAGGGCTGTGCACCGGGCACCTCTACACAGAGACAAACTTGGCTTATTTGTGAAATGCTGTGGAGGAAAGGGCAGTACATAAACAACTGCCCTAAACTGCAGGCTAAGTTAACAGTACAGGAATCCCCTCAAAACCCAAAGGAACCCAACCCCATTCAGAGCTGAAGTCCGACAAAGCCTGCCCAGAAGCCTGTCGGTTGTTCAGAGGTACTCTTGGGTGCTCTGTTTACCATCAGAACACGTAAGCCTCTATTTGTATAACTTTTGATTATTATCAAAATATGGTGGGGTAAGGATAATAACACTTTATCATAGCTTAGCAAGTGAGGAGTGAGTTGCAGAGCAAGTTTAAGTGACCTACTCATTTTCAGACAGGAATTAATTTTAGCCCAGGATCTCACCTGCTAGGCCAGTTCTTTCTACCCCTTTCAGCAGATGACATCCAACAAAGCAAAACCAATGTTGGTTTGTTTGCACTCTAAAAAGGTAATGGGTACATCAGAAATAACTTCCAGGTAGTCTCAGTTATGTTTGCATACCATAATTTAAGAAGTGCTTTTTTGAAAATAAATGGATGCTACCTTTGAAGTGCGTTATTGTACCAATTATATGTGGTGGTTAAATAATTTCTGGAAGACGTTCATGTGAGGTCTTCACTGTGTATTTATTAAAGTTCTGAAACTTCATTCTTTCATCTCTCTAATGCATTTTATCCAGCAGAACATGTGGAGCCCACACAAGTGAAATACATCTGTATGAAGATAACAGCAAGCTTCATAATCTGTAATTCCAGTTATGCTGGGGTGAAGGGGAAATCAAGACAAATCTTTGAATCCAGGCTGGGGGGCGGGGGGAAATCTTCCCTGGGTTGTCTTTAGTCCACTGTCTTTTTGAAAGTTGAACTGATAACGGGAGTTCTTCACACAGTGCTTTATTCTGGCCACATGCTTCAGAAGAAAAAAATATCCCCCTGGCAAGTGCCAGTTTAATAAAAATGTGAGGTTATCCCTGACATTGAAAGCTCAAGTTTGCACAGATGCTGTGCACGTTCTACCAATAAAACAAGCTCTCTAACCTCAGTGGTTAGCTAGTTCCCTTCAGAGCTTTCCTCTGTCTGTGACCGTTTTGCTTCTCTAAATATGGAAAAGTTCAATTTGCAATCATCTATTATGGATTACCATACTGAAATAGCCTATTTTAATTTGTCACGCTTCAGTGTGCTAGGGTTTAACAATATAACTGTTTTTTTGTAGGGAAAAAAATCGATCCACCTCAAATCCCGTTTCCAGCAGTTTTCTCAGGCTGCTGTCCAGACCATTGCAAATAATACAAGAAAAATAATAATAAAGCAGCTTACCTTTTCACCTCTGCTTACAAAACCCCCCAAACTTCTTGAAGGTTGTGTTTTTGATAGAAGTAAGGTGTTCTAATGGTCCTACAGCAAACTGCAAAATTGCTAACCATGCAATGAAATGCCATGGGTTCACTCTCAAATACTTCCAATACCATCTACGTTTGGTATTTCATGGAATGCACATGTCATCTGGTTAAAAACTCAGAAGTAATAGGGGTTAACTTCTCAGTAAGTGTTTGCTTTTATTTGAAATTTTATGCTACAAAAATTGCATAACAGACTAAGAACTTATCACTTAAACAGTTAATGAACATTTAAAATGCAGTATTTCACAAAAAAATAGCTTATCAGCTATGAACATGAACTAAGTTCTCAAATTTTGTATCAGTTATAAATTCAGAGAACTATACCTGTTAAAGTGCACCATTTACATTTAGCATTAAAATAGATAAGGCACTTATTAAAAGATAAAACTGTTATTAACAGGGCTAAACAACTTGGTTACAATAAATGGATAACTATTGCTCATCTGCATTGTAGATGATTATTTTTTCCTTCACCAGAACAGCAATCTCTGCAGGGCAGGAGCATGGAAAGAAATGATTGATCCCCCTCCAATATTTACTGAGTAAATAAAAGCAGCAGCAACAATGGAACAAGCAGGGGGTTTTCTGTTCTGTTCAGTGTGGATGACAGCACCTCATGTCCCAGCTCAGGTTCTTACCAAAACAAAAATCCAACTATACTGTGGGCTTTGAGGAAGAAAACAAAATCTGTTCTCAGAATATGAATGTAGGAAAGTAACACTACATGTCTTCAGACATCTATCAAGAGACCCAATTTTAGAAAAGTCCTACATATCAAAAGCCCCTTATAAATTTCTAGGGAAACTAACAGACAACAATGAGGCCAAAATAGAAACTGGATTCTGCAGTTTCGGTAAACATAATGTTCAGTTTTGTTTGCTGCATAAATGGGTAAAGCAATACAAAGGAACAGTTAACTTGGAAGAAAAGCTTTCTTCCATAGTTGCAAGAGTCCTTTTTGTTTACTTGTGTCAGGTGTCAAGGGTTAACTACATATGCAGGTGAATTTGGAAATCGTATTTTAAAGGCATCCAAAGTACTTTGAAAATAATCAACGCAAGTCACGCAAGTTGAACATTTAGGTGTAGATCCAAGTAACCCTTCAGCTTCCACACAGCTTCGTATTCCAATACTTATTGTTTGTTGCGCCAAAATACAAAACCTGTGCTGTTATTCGATTATATGTTATAGGAAGCACTGTGCAGGACCAGCATCAGAGAATAATGTGCATTCAGTAAAAGACTTCACCTCCACCTTCAGCATTCTGTGTTCTTTTTAACTTCTGTCTTCAGCACGACATCAATTTCTTCATAAATAGCTCTGAAAGAAGAACAGGCCAAGTCCTACATCACAGTTGTTTCATTTTGACAAAATGCACCAATGAAATCTTGCTCAGGCACAAACTGCCAAGAGTTTATTGTGTTTGCCTAAGAGAGCAGCATCAGTGGCAGGATGCCCTGGTTTCCATGGCAACAAAGATCCAATCCTGTGGTATGCCTGTGATTATACATTTAATGAGGTACCTCTGGACATTGTCGCTTTTGATGAAATAAGTTTGGGAACAGGACTGCAAAAGACAAGTGGCCAGCATACCATGTGGCATACAATTACTGCGCTAGTTAAAAAAACCCCAAAAAACTAAAGCTTTGTTGAAATTTTTCTACTGCAGAATTTGGTGGTTCCTCAGAAATAAGTTTTGTGTAGATGGCTCAAATTTTTTGGCAATTTACTGGTAGAGAGGAGAGTTCTGCCATCCATTTAGTTTCATATTAGTTTTCTGACTGACTGTTTAGCCCTCTGGAGAGTCCCAGCATCCATTCCCTCTTGTAGCTTATATTTAAATTGAGGATTTTCTTGATATGCAGTACAACATTCTTAAAACTCACAATTGCTGTGAACAGGAATTACTTTGGTTACCTTGCTCCAGAACTACCTGTGTTGAAGCATCAATCAGCTTCCTGCACCAGGACACTTACCATGTTTTATTCACATTTTCATATCACTGGATAGGATTTTAGTAGATCATTTTTGACACAGCACTACTCCACTATTTTTACAGATGCTGTTCAATGAACACACTACAGGAATTTATTTTCTGGTTATGCTGGAAATATTGGATGAAAACATACAAAATGCAACCACTCATTTACATTGGCAATCCAGCTGGTCAGCTAAGTCAGTCAAAGTCAGTTAGAAAACAGTTTGTTTCCTAACTCAGAAGAAAAAGCCATCTCAGAAGCGTTCTTGCCTTTGGCATCTAAGAGAACTGTATACTATCTATTTTAAGTTACTCACTCAGTGGGAGCCAATGGATCAAATTCCATTATCTCGTAGTAATGAGGTGATTGTGACTTGTTCTTTGATGCAGCTGAAGAATAAAGACAGGCAGATAAATCCAGATTTAAATGTACATGAAAAGCGTGCTTACTGTATGTTACTTTTTTTTGTATCTTCCTGAAAGTAGCAGATTATCTCCTATGTATCTAGTTGCTTCAAATGCTAAAACAGACAGACATGCCTACAAGAAGCCATGAGCAATATGAGATTTTGTCAATGATTGTTGCTGCTCCTAGTCTTTAGCAGACATGTAAATCCCTTAAGTTCTAACAAGAAAAATATATCTCCATGAAAGTTAGATGGTCTGCGGTATTTATTACCTGCTGGTGACAGTGCATTTAATGATGTAGTATGTCCAGTCTGCAGATTTACTGGATTCAGAGGCACTGGGCTCAAAAGAGTCGCCAACTAAGAACATCAAGAAAACAGATTGTTCTATGAGAACTGGTTTGACTTAACGTATATAACTGCTGACTATCTTTAGACTCTCAGACTACAGCAGGTAGATTCTAAG